GAAACGATGTACAAATGCGCTTTACACAATTGATGTGTGTATGGATTGGGATAACAGTTGTATGAGCCCCTAATAAAATGTTAAATAAAAAAAATAAATAAATAAAATAAAATAAAAAACAGAAAAAAAAAAGCTAAAAAAAAAGATGGAAAAAAAATTGAACATATTTAAAGCATAGCGATTCATCACAAAAACAACATGTAATTATGTATTGTGAAATATTTGTTTCTAATGACAAAAAAATGAAATATTTCCTTGAAAAAAAAAAAAGTTCGTGGACAAATGGAATAAAAAATAATGGATTTTACCCCAGAGATAATTAAAATATTGAGAATTAAAAAAAAAAACTTTAAGATCATGGCTGGGCTCCCCACGTTCCTGGCTCAGACTCCCCCACCCGCTCTTGCCCTGTTGAGTGCCTGCCACCCACAAACATCTGGAACATCGTTGCCTTCAAACATAGGTGCTCCTGGACAGGAGACTGTCGTAGGGTACGGCTCACCATTGGAGGTGCTCTTTTCCCGTCCCCTTTCTGCTCGGTCTTTTACTTCGAACGGGACTTGGTGAGCAAGTGTGGCTAAGCCTCCCTGTGAATTCCCACGGTGGTTTTTTTGAAGTCTCCTCCTTCCTCATCTGTCTGACCCTGCAGACTAGCGTGTCCGCTCCTCTCGGATGTTTCCCTAGCTAAGCCCGTGCCTCCCTAACAGCAGAAGAGGGCAGCTTATCCCCTGAGGGGCCAGCATAGATCCCAAAACCAGATCTCTGGAGGACACAGTTGTCTACGCTTTCAAAGTGTGTGTGTATGTGTGTGTGTGTGTGTGTGTGTGTGTGATCATGTATTTACCCTTTTTTTTTCATGGTTACCCATTGCCCTTGTGTTGAGGCCGATCGTGGCAACCCCGTGGGTGCCAGGGGAGAAGTGAACCCCATAGTAGAAGTTTTCAGTGACCAATTTTGGGGGGAATCTGACCACCAGGTCTTTCTTCTGAGGTGCCTCTTCGTGAACTCCACCCTTTGGTTGAGCACATTAACCGTTTGCACCCCTTAGAGACGGGCCAACCTCATCCCCTCCCCTCGATCATTGCTTAAAAGTGGCCCCTAAGAAGACAGGTCCTCTTTATCCCGTGACTCAGCGTCTCAGAGGGTCTGAGAAACAAGGTGGTCTCGATGCTGATGCCCCCCTTGCCCTTCTCTGGAGCCCTTTTCTGGCTTGAGGTGCAGAAACTGGGGGTCTTAGGGAGGTGGCTATGGAAACAGCTGTTTCACCACTTCCCCAGGAGCACCCCTGGTGCTTAGCTTAGCGCGCACCGGCCCGCTGTGGGTTCGGACGTCTGTAGTTCTGGCGGCGGCATTAACAGTCCCGTCTCCTCCACAGACCGTGACACCTCGCTGAGTGTGAGCATCCCCGAACCGTCCCCTCTGCGAGTCCTCCTCGGGAGCTCGCTGACCATCCCCTGCTACTTCATCGACCCCACGCACCCCGTGACCACCGCGCCCTCCACTGCCCCCCTTGCCCCGAGAATCAAGTGGAGCCGCGTTTCCAAGGAGAAGGAGGTGGTCCTCCTGGTGGCCACCGAGGGCCACGTGCAGGTCAACAGTGCCTACCGGGACAAGGTCTCGCTGCCCAACTACCCAGCCATCCCCAGTGATGCCACCCTGGAGATTCAGAACCTACACACCAATGACTCCGGCGTCTACCGCTGCGAGGTGATTCATGGCATCGCGGACAGCCAGGCCACCCTGGAGCTGGTGGTGAAAGGTGAGAGCCGCCCCTGGGATGCCAGGGTGCCACCCGCAAGGAGACCCAGAGAGGTGACCTCCAATGGGTGGGTCTATCAAGTCCCTGCTCCTCCACCCCCCCACCCCCTCACCCCCCACTCCCGTGTGGACCTCTGTCCTTTGACTTAACCTCAGTCACTTCCTCTGTCAAATGGAGCCGATGAGATGACTCCCTGACATGTATGCTGGACACGAAAGAGAACTAACTACTTCGTGGCCACAGACACATGGCCAGTGACTATTGGCGTGTCACCCCTTCCTGGGATTGGGTGAATCCTATGGCCATGCTCACCTCACGACAGGCCCGCCGAGGGTAAGTGACTTCCCTGAAGTCACCCAGGAAGTGAATCAGAAAGGTTTCTGACCCTGCACTCGGTGTCCTTCCCTCCTCCACCTCTGTCCCTTCATTCCCAGAAGCCAAGAGAGGGCTGGAGACCGCTGTCTCTCTGCCCCAAGGAGAATGGGTGGCCCCTGCTTGGCTCCCAGGGCTGGCCCGAAGGTCTCTGAGGGTATTCTAGCAATGGCCGAGAGATCACACCAATGTGCAGAGAAGACGTGGCAGCTCAAGCCCAGCCAGCTGCTCACGGTCACTCTTGGCACTTACTCTCTTCCTGGGAGGGCCTCGATGACCGGATGCTGCTTGACCAGCTCTCCTGCCCACACCTGTCTTGCAGGCATTGTGTTCCACTACAGAGCCATCTCCTCGCGCTACACCCTGGACTTTGACCGCGCACAGCGGGCCTGCCTGCAGAACAGCGCCATCATCGCCACTCCTGAGCAGCTGCAGGCTGCCTATGAGGATGGCTTCCACCAGTGCGATGCTGGCTGGTTGGCCGACCAGACCGTGAGGTGAGCTCCCCGCCAACCAGCTGAGTGGGCATGCGGGCCAGGCCACTGGGGTGCAGAGGCTACCTCAGATTGGTGTGGGATGGAGCGGGCTAGTACCGGGTGACACTGAATCCAGTCTTGGCCAACAAACTCAAGATCAGGACCCACTGATCCCTCTCAAATTCTTGTCATTCTATCTTGCTAACAATGCCACCTTAAAAAAAAGTGGTCACCTATTCCACAACTCTGACTCGTAGTGACCCCATGTGCGTCAGAGTACATCTGTGCTCCATAGGGTCCTCAGTGACTGATTCATCAGAAGGGATCACCAGGTCTTGCCTCAAATTGCCTCTGGGTGGATCTGAACCGACAACTGTTTGGTTAGCATCAAAACATTTTCTCCTTGCAGTTTACCCGTTCTTACCATTCTTCCCCGTTGCCACCGTGTCCTCTCTCACCGGTTCCTTGTTTTGTCTTAAAAAAACAACAACACCCTGAAGTGCTTTTTATGTGTTCTTTATAAGCCACCTCATATTCCTCTGTGCCTTCTCTTTTTTTACGAAACAAGGCAACTCAACCAAAACCCAAACGCACTGCCACCAAATGGATGCTGGCTACATACCTACATCCAGCCCCTTTGCACATTTCCCCGAGTGCAAGCAGCTGAGAGCCGGGCTTGCACAGCAGACAGAGAGCCCTGCCCTCGAAGCATCTCAATCTGTTATGAATAAACGGTGAAAACAGGATGAGATGATGAATTGAAGGTGGACCGTAGCTCTAAATATGAGTAAGAACCACAAAGCCTCCACAAGAAAATCAAGGGCAATAGCTTTGCAAAGATGTCTTTGGACATAAAAACCATTCATCACAAGGGAACAGATTGAGAGCTTCAGTTGTTGCAAGCGCCTGGTTTGCAGACGGCTGTGGATGACCGTGGAAGGGTCCACACATGGATTAAGTCTCCAGCGAGTTGCGTCTGACCCAGTCCAGGGCTCTGAAGAGTCTTGCTATCAGACAGAGAGCCTTGCGAGGCTGATTATGGCAGATGTGGTTAGAGCACAATGTCATTCAGTGAAAATCCTTTGATCTCCCTTTTGACCCATTTTAAAGTTGTTTGTTTTCAATATTCTCTACTTTCTTTTGGATGGAGGTTTTCGTTGTTTTGTCTAGTCGTTGTTGTTGGGCTTTTGTTTGTTTGCTTCCTGTTTGTGTCTTGTGGGATTGTCTATATGTGAAAATGCAGGCTAGGTAGATTAACTGGAGTAGCCATTGCCTAGAGCATGGTGGGGAAGCACTTGGGGTGGGGGTAGAGGCAAGGGAAGGGGGGAGGGGCAACTAACAACAATGAATGTGAGAAGAAAATGCTCTGAAACTGATTGTGATGTGTGTGCACAAAAAATACGATTGAATGATTCGACTGTGTGATATGTAAAGTACATGCCAATAGAACAATTTTTTTTAAGCTCATCACATACAGCAAGATGAGATGGCAGGTTGGCACAGTGCTGGACCCCAACCCTTGGAAGCTGTGTGACCTTAGATGGAGTATCAGACTTCTCTGGGCACCACTTTCCTCATTTGGGAGACTCAGAGGATGGAGCTAACTACAGTCCAAGGGCCAAACGCAACCCAGCGCTGTTTTTGTGAATGAGCTTCCTTGCAATGTAGCCATGCTGGTCTTTTACATATAAATTGTCCAGGGGTGCTGTCACATTACAATGGCAGAATTGAAAATAGCATCAGAGACTGCAGCCTGAAACATTTGCTATCTGGCCTTTAACAGAAAGACATTACAGGGCTGACTTCTGATAGGGCAGTGGTGGTCGTAGCAAGAGCTATTCAGACAAGGAGGCTGTGCTTATTAATAACTGTGAAAACAGATGGTCTGCAGAGCCAAGACTTAAAAATAATCACCAAACCCATTGCCGTCGAGTCTATGCTGACTCATAGCAACCCTATAGGACAGGTGGAACTGCCCCTGTGGGGTTTCTGAGACGGTAACTGTTTTCAGGAGGAGAAAGCCCGTCTTTCTCCCGAGGAGCAGCTGGTGGTTTTGAACTGCTGACCTTTGAACACGTCACCCTTACCAGGGCTCCCACAGATGCAGGACAGGCAGGGTTAGCCCCGTGACTCGGTCACCGTGCCTTCCTATGAGTGGGGGCATAAAGTCCAGTCCCCATGGCGCCCCTCCCTTCCCTGTGTGTCACACCTCCCTGTGCAGGTACCCCATCCACCTGCCCCGGGAAGGCTGCTACGGAGACAAGGACGAGTTCCCTGGGGTGAGGACCTACGGCATCCGGGACACCAATGAGACCTACGATGTGTACTGCTTTGCCGAGGAGATGGAGGGTGAGGGCACTGGGCACCCAGCCGACAGCCACCCTTCAGCTGTGCCCAGGGGAAGGGTGGGGACTGAGGGGTTCTTGCCCACTCTGCCTGCCCAGGGCCTTTAAACCGCTGCCTAGATGTCACACCTAGGACCCCAAGGCAGGGTGGGGGTCTCTCCCTTGAACAGCCCCTCCCAGCCAGGACCCCCTCCATGTCCTATGTCCACTGTGCCTCATCACCTTGCAGGCCACCCCTGGGTAGGTTCCACCCCTCCCTGCCCCAGGCCGAGTCCTGGAGGCATTTTCTTCAGTGAAGCTATTAATTTGGGTCACAGTCTGAGCTTCCCAGGGTACCCAAGCTCAGAAATGACACCCCACCCCTCATCTCCCTTTCCACATTGCCCATCCTCCACCTCAGACCCCTCCCTGGCATGACCTCGTCCGGAGAGGAAGCTTACAGGCCTTGCCCAGTGGCCTTGTGGACTCTCCGGGCCTGGAGCGGCCCCTGCCACCTGGGTCGGAAACCATGCTCTGGGGGGCCAGAGCCTGACGCCTGCGTTACTGTCAGAGTTTGTATGTTTTAAACAGACCTGCTCCTGCGGGCCACACTGAGCTCACAGGAAAGAGCCAGTAGTGGCTGAACGTTTCCGAGCAAACCTTGGAACAGGGGAGTTTCCCTCAGACTGACTCCACCCTTGCCCCAGGGGAGAGAGGGAGAGAGAGAGAGAGAGAGAGAGAGAGAGAGAGAGAGAGAACAAACCACTGCCAGTTTTACATGTGTTCATTTCCTGCGACCATCGCCACTGTGGTCTCTGGACGTCGCAGTCGCCCTTAGCAGACGCTGTGGCTCCCGGGCGATGGGAGCCCGCCCCTCCACCTCTGCTCCTTCCCACCGTGGGAGCCCCTGGCCACCTTGGCGCTCTGCATTTGTTCATTCTACCTCAGGGCGGGCAGTGTTCCGTTCCAGTGTGTGTGCAGGGTCGCCAGGCGTGGGACTGACCCAGCAGCACCTACAACAGGAACGAGGGAAGGGACCTGAGGACCTATTTTGAAAGAGAGAAAGTTGGAGCGGCATCGGCTTGGACGCCTGTGTCACAGTAAACTGTGCTCCTCCGTGAGGGTTTCAGCAATGGGCTTCCCCCGAAGTAACTTCCCAGGCCTCTCTTCTGAGGTGCCCCTAAGAAACCTTGGACCTCCGACCTTCTGGCTAGCAGACTAGCACGGTCATTGCCTCCCAAGAGCGGGTGGCAGGCTCCTGGATCTCCCTGGGGAAGCAGGGGGGAGGGGAGGGTGGGGTCCTCACTCGGCTGCTGTGTTCCTCACAGGTGAGGTGTTCTACGCCACATCGCCCGAGAAGTTCACCTTCCAGGAAGCAGCCAATGAGTGCCGGCGCCTGGGTGCCCGGCTGGCCACCACAGGCCAGCTCTATCTGGCCTGGCAGGGCGGCATGGACATGTGCAGCGCCGGCTGGCTGGCCGACCGTAGCGTGCGCTATCCCATCTCTAAGGCCCGGCCCAACTGCGGGGGCAACCTGCTGGGTGTGAGGACAGTCTACCTACACGCCAATCAGACGGGCTACCCAGACCCCTCATCTCGCTACGATGCCATCTGCTACACAGGTGTGGCTGGGGCTGGAGGAGGGAGGGGTCCCCAAGGAAGAGAAGAACTTGGAAAGGGGAGGGGTGGTTCTCATTCCTCCCAGGCACCACTGGGTGCCTGAGTGGTCTGCTTTGGTAGTAGTTACCCAGTCGCCTGTAAGTCAATCCTAACTCGTGCTGACAGCCTGGGTGTCAGAAGTGGGTCCCCTGGGGTTTCAGGTGGGGGGTGGGGGTGGATTCACGATGCAGACTGCCAGACCTTTCTTCCAAGGCCCCTCTGGATGGGCTCAACCTGCCCCTTTCCGTTGAAGCCGTTAACCCCATGCCCCCGTGGGGACCTCATGCTTCTTATATGTCCCCTCCTCTCATTTTCACTGGCCCCTAGCAGGGGACAGGGCAGAGAGACTGCACATTTCAGGGACCCTGGCCCTGTCTCCTCTCTTGAGAGCCAAGTTAGAAACAGGAGCTTTACGCAAGAGTCGCCTGCAGGTGAACCCCAGCTCTGTCATGGCTGCTATGTGGCCCCAGGCAGCCCAGGGCTTTCCTCCTGGCTAACGGGAAGACGGCATGAGACCACGTTCCCACCGGAGGACACTCTTCTGCCCTTTAAAATGGTATCCATGGAAAAGAAAAGCTAACCGTGTTCCTGAAAAGAGAGAGGAAAGTCGTGATTGGGACTTAACATTTACTCTTAAAAAACAAAAAACAAAACCCAAAACCTTTTGAGTGAGTGTTTTAACTTGTGTTTAGAAAGAGGTGAGTTATCATCACAATTTGGTGTTAATCCTTGAGGGAGAGAGAAGCCGTGGACGTGAGGTTGTCCACATGTTTACAGGATTGGTGCTCCATGACATATTTCCTTCCACGTCTCACCTCCACAGCCTGGTGTTAGAGACGCTTAGGGCACTGCCCTCCATGCCGACTCACAGCGACCCCACAGGACAGGGTGGAACTGCCCCTGTGGGTTTCTGAGACTGACCCTTGAAGGGCGCAGAGAGCCTCCCCTTTCTCCTGCAGAGCTCCCGGCGACTTCAAACTGCTGACCGTCTCGATCGAAGCCCAGTAGGCAACCACTGTGCCACCAGCGCCCCTGTTGCAAAAATAACGAGGGTTTTATAGATTTCCTCCATAGCCTTTCTTAACTTTCTGATATTCCTTCCTTTCCTCCTTCGACACATGTTGACTGATGGCTTATTATGTGCCAGACCAGTGTGATGCTTTAGAAATCGAAGATCCCTGCCCACAAAGAGTGTTCAATCTACTAGATTAAGAACCTAAACCAAACCAAAAAAACCCGCATCGTCACCGAGTGGGTTCCGACGCATAGTGACCTCTCCAGGGTTTCTGAGGCTGTAAATCTGTACAAAAGCAGATGGCCTCATGCTCTCTCAGAGCAGTTGGTGGGTCTGAACTCCCGGTTCAGACGGTTGGGCTTGTGGTTATAAGCCCAACAGCTAACCCACAGGACCACCAGCACTCCTTCTTCGGGTGAGACAAACAAGAAATAACAAACACAGTAAGTTCATAAATTACATCTCTCACTGCCATCAAGCCACTGCTGGCTGGCTGGCTCAGGGGCCTGCTGTGGGTTTCCAAGACAGTCACTGTTTATGGGAGTAGAAAGCCCCATCTTTCTCCCACGTAGTTGCTGGGGGTTTCAAACTGCCCACCATGCAGATCACAGGCCAGCACAGAGCCACTACACCACCAGGGCTCCTATCAATTACACAGTGTGCCAGAACTGACAAAGTACTATGGGATAAGGAAAGAGTCTAGCAACATGTGGGAAGGAGGCCAGGGCCTGGTGATGTGGCACGTTAAACAGGTGTAAAGGTAGGTTTTCTGGAGAAAGTGGTTTTGACTACTGTCGAGCGGGAAAGTGAATTTCCCATCTCCTGATTAATAAGTAAGGAGCCTCGATGGCACAGTGGGTTGAGTGTTGGGCTGCTTGAGTGGTGGGGATTTGAACCACCGGCTGTACCTCAGAAGAAGGAAGAGGCTGGCTGCCCCCATAAAGATCTGCAGTCCTGGCAGCCCTGTGAGTCCGCCAGGACCCTGAGTCAGCATCGACTCGGCAGCACTGGGTTTGATTTTGGGGTGACCAGTGTTTGCAAATACTTGGTGGGTCCCTTTTATAATTTATTTTATTTCATGGTGGCTGTTTTTTATTGTTGAGCAATGTCTAGCTGATCCAACATTTGCTGACACAGCATGAGTCACTCAGACAATTCCGTGAAGCCATTACACTCATGCCCACCCACCGTCACTCTTTGGGAAATAGCGTCAGGCTCGTGGGCGCTCCCCTTTGCACTGGCAGGCTGATCTGCCGTGGCCCCACCTGTCCATGGTTGTGATGCAGGCGGTGCACCGCCATCACCTTCATCGGTTGCAGGAGTTCCTGCATCTTCTGTGTGATTTTTCTGTTGCCTTCTGTCTGGTTTGTGTTGCCCTGTTGGGTAGTTACTATTGCAGATGGTCAGTCAGGTGGGTGAGGGGGGACTAATTAAGCAGGAGGAGATGCTGGTGGGAGAAATGATTTTTTTAAGCAGCCAGCTGATTGGCTGTGGCTAAGAGCACTTTGAATAGTGAGGAGCCTGCAGTGAGCGGAGTCAGGGGCCTGGTACATAGTAGGTGCTTTTCTTCCATGTGGGAAAGAAGGAGGAGCCGATGCCCCTGAGCCAGGCTGAGGCTGAGACCCTGGAATGTCTTTGTCCCTGCCCCAGGTGAAGACTTTATGGACATCCCAGACAACTTCTTCGGGGAGGTGGGCGAGGAGGACATCACCATCCAGACGGTGACCTGGCCTGATATGGAGCTGCCCTTACCCCAGAACGTCACTGAGGGGGAAGCCCGGGGCAACGTGATCCTCACAGCGAGGCCCATCTTCGATGGCTCACCCACTTTCCCACCACCCGAGGAGCCCTTCACCGAGCCCAGCAAGGATCTGGCCGCACAGGTGACCATCGATCCAGGTGCACCCAAGACCCCTGGACAACAACTCCTGCCAGGGGGTAAGTGCCCACCTTCAGGTGGGGCTCACACAGTGTCACGAAGATGTCCTGGCTGGCCCTTCCACTTTTCCCGGGGCCTGGCCCAGCCTCTGTCCTCTCAGCTTTGGCCCTCCTCATCTGTAAAATGGGATGGGGGAGACCAGACCAGGCATGTCCAAAACTCTTTTTTTTTTAATCAGTATTTTATAGTGTGGTGAAAGTAGACATTGTAACTTAGGGTCCCATTTGGCAATGTCTTCTGTTCAAATTTACCAGTGACAGAGCACTCTTGCTCATTGGCTGGTGCTGGCTCTGCCTCCGGGGCTCCGGCTTCCCTGCTCCTGGGCACGGCCGGTCCTCACTCAGAGATGGTTTCTCCAGAGAGCACCGTCCTCCTGGTGACGTCCGGTGCTCCGTGTGTCACTCCATCGGTTCACGAAGGGATGGTCGCCGAGGAGAGCTTCAACTCAAAGTTCCAAAAGCTAGCTTAGAGCGATGGCTTCCCATAGTCCTCTGGTTTCAGCTGGTCCTGTTAGGTTTGGCTTTTTAAAGAATTTTAGCTTTGTTCTATGTCACCACCACCACCACCACCCCACCCCACCCACCCACACACACACCCCACCTCCAGAGAAGAGAAGCACATGAAAAGCACTGCTTAGGGTGATATCTGACACCTCTCCCATCTCTGGCCTTTCACAGCAGGCCTGGACAACCTGTTAGGCCAAATCCAGCCCAGCACCTGTCTTCCTACAGTCCCCAAGCACAGAATGTTTTTTCCCATTTTTTAAATAGTCGAAGAACATTCCAAAGGAGACAACATTCCCATGACACCTAAAAGTTTTGTGAAATTCACATTTCAGTGTCTGTAATAAGGTCTCCCAGGCACACAGCCACCCCCGTGGGCTGCGTGTTATCTACCTCTGGCTGAGTGCTGCGGTGGCAGGGCTGGGGCCTTCTCACACAGCCAGGGAGGCCACAGCACCGGACGTCTTTACAACCTGGCCCTTTCCAGAAAAGGCTTACTCACCCCTGTTTGAGGGAGATGGCGGACCAGGTCTAGAGAAATTCATGTGCCCTATAGAGCTCAGCGACTCCCCAAACTCAAGACCTCGGAGGGAGAACTTTGTGGGGTGGCCATGATGAAGGCTTTGGTGATGTCCCTTCCCAGGGGAGGGGAAGATGAGCATGGCCCCGCCCTCACCCCCATGATGCTACCAAGTGAACTGCCTGGATCCAACCCAAGGTTGTGGAGGAGGGGCTCTTGAGAAGTCTGGGGCAACACCATTGGGGTCCCGAGGCTGCAGTGAGCCCCTCTGGCTACCGTATGAGGATGGTCAGATGCACATCAGACGTGGTGCAGGGACAAGTGCACAGGGTAGACTTGGTTCAGTGAGGATCAGTAGCACTGAGCTGCCTCCCAGGGAGGGGCCAAGAGCAACCGCGAGTCCAGATGAGGAGGCTCTCGGACAAGAGCACCTGTCTGTTGGTGGTCATCCCTTTGAGATTGAGGCCCACCCCCACTGCACACCCACAAAAACATCTGCAGCCACACTTGGGAGGGCTACCCACTCCTGTTGCCCTGGACTGGGGGCCCGGTGGGAGAATTACCAGTGATCCTTGGATTTCTCCCTTATCCTTCTTCGTGTTTTCCAGCTGGTCTGTAATGACCATTTATCCATTTCACCAGGAGGACAGGCACCCTTTTCTTTTAGAGAATAAGTGGGCAATGAGCATCCAGTGTGCTAAACCCAGAAAGGGAGAACCGGACCCCAGGGTCTCAGGAGCTTCCCTACGGAACTCAATGTCAGGAGCAGAGAGAGAGAAACAGCTGAGGTGGCAGGAGAGTCAGGGGGAGGGAAGGTCATTCCTCAAAGAGCCAGCACCACCTGTCCCAAGGGGCCATGAGGACTGGACACCACGAGCAGCAGTTCCGAGGGTGCCACTCTGTGCCCCAACAGACCTCTCTCCTGTGCCCCCTGCAGGGGTCGTGTTCCATTACCGCCCAGGCTCCACTCGCTACACGCTGACCTATGAGGAGGCGCGGCAGGCCTGCCTGCGCACGGGCGCAGTCATGGCCTCCCCGGAGCAGCTCCAGGCAGCCTACGAGGCAGGCTACGAGCAGTGTGATGCTGGCTGGCTACAAGACCAGACTGTCAGGTGAAGGATGTGCCCCTGAACCTCCCCGGCCCGGCCCCAGGGAGGTGGCCACACAGTGCCCAGCACAGAAATCAGGCCCAGTAGATGGTGGGTTAAGCAGTGCACTAGTGCCTCTATGGCCATGTCCTTAATCTCTCTCCAGATTAGTCACAGTCCAAGAAGGCCAGCGGGGGAGCCCCCACCACTGGGTCAGAGGTTCAGGACACAGAGTAAAGCTGCCCAGACTGAGACTGTAACTCTCCATGGGAGTAGAAAGCCGCATCTTTCTCTCAAGTGGCTGCTGGGTTTGACCCTCCAACCTTGCTGTTAGTGGCCCACTGCTTAACCTGTGGTGCCACTGGGGTTCTTTGCATTAGGCTAAGTCCTTGGGAATCTTCCCCTAAGAGATAGAGAGGAGGAATGCCTGCTCCGGAGACCCCTCCCACAGCCCTCAGTGCTGGGGGCCCTCCCAGGGGCCACCAGGCCCTTCCACAGAGGGCACCAGGGACTTTGCATGAATTACATGAGGGCCACTTCCCGGTTTGAGTGCCATCTGACAGTCCAAGTCACACCCTGCCAAGTGTTCCCTGGGCCCCTAGGGCAGGCTCTCATCCACCCCATGCACCCTCCTTTGCAGATACCCCATTGTGAGTCCACGGGCCGCGTGTGGGGGCGGCACGGACAGCCGGCCGGGTGTCAGGAACTACGGTGTCCGCCCGTCATCAGAAACCTACGACGTCTACTGCTACGTGGACAGGCTTGAGGGTACGGGCTGGGAGCTAAAGGGTAACCCCAAAGGGGAGCAGCGAGTCCTCCCCCACCCCAGATTTCTAGGGCCCATTTAGACAATTAAGTCCACCCCCTCCCCACTGGTCAATTCAAGCCCCTTCTCTCTAGGCTAGCAATCTCCCCAGCAATGTGGGTGAATCACTCCCCTTGTGAATGCTCAATGAACACTGCACACACACACACGCCACTGCCCAGTTCCAATGCCCGTGAGTAAATCAGACTCTGAGAAATCTTTCCGTGCAAAAGCAACACACACACATACGCACGCTCTCTTGACCTTCTGTTTTAGTGTGCTTCCTTCATCTCCATTCAAATCCTCCAAATGAAGATGCCACACAATCCAGTTTGGGGGTGCTGCTGTGGTGGGGCATCTCCACTGCTGCCAGCTCCTGGAGTGAGCGCCCTGGGCAGGACTCGTAACCTGCCCAGGGTTCAGTTCCCTACTCTGTAAAATGGGGCTGACCTGCACCCACATCAGAGGCTTCTGAGTTGTAAAGGAAGGGTGTAGGAAAGGCCCCTGGAACTGCCCTGCCTCCCCTGAGTTCTGCAGGCAGTGAGGGAGCGGGGCTGGGCCGTCTACAGTCCGTGCGGTGGCACCAGGATGTCAGGGGAGGGCGAGGTCATCAGTCCCTATGGGTCACTAGAGAGTCTACAAAGGAGAGGAATGACTGGGTGACTCTCCGTGGAGTGACCAACAGGTCCCCATTTGACTGGATCTCCCATATTTTTACCTGCAAAAACCCTAAAGCCCAGGAAACCCATACAAACCAGGACCTACCTCCCAGGGTCCCAGGAGAGTGAAGGGAGTGATGGGGCCCCACAGGTGGGGGTCAGGGTGAGCAGGCTTGCTGTGGCTAAGGGTGCCAAAGGTCCCCCCCGCCACCTGTGTCTGCCCCCAGGGGAGGTATTCTTTGCCACCCGCCTGGAGCAGTTCACCTTCCAGGAAGCACTGGAGTTCTGTGAATCCCACAATGCCACCCTGGCCTCCACGGGCCAGCTGTACGCTGCCTGGAGCCTCGGCTTGGACAAGTGCTACGCCGGCTGGCTGGCTGATGGCAGCCTCCGCTACCCAATCATCACCCCAAGGCCCGCCTGCGGGGGCAGTAAGCCCGGCGTGAGGACCGTCTACCTCCACAGCAACCAGACCGGCCTTCCGGACCCTCTGTCCCGGCACCACGCTTTCTGTTTCCGAGGTACGGACCTTTCCACTCCACCAAAAGGACCAAGCTCATGGCCAGCAAGTGGACCCGACAACTAGCGACCCGGCCCCTGGGGGTTCCCAGACAGGAATTCTGCGCACAGGAGTAGAAAGCCCCTCTTTCTCCCAAGGAGCAGCTAGTGGTTTCAAACTGCTGACTTTGCAGTTAGCAGCCCAACATGTAACCACTGCGCCACTAGGGCTCCCCTACCTCTTCTCTGGGTCCCCTGTACCCCAGAGACAATGCCCCTAGGCTCCCCACTCCTGGCCCTGACCAGTACCCCCTCCATCCGAAAGTCATATCAGGCTGAGTTCCCTGCCTGGGGGCTGGGGGCACACAGGAGGTGGGGGCAGAAGGGCAGAGGGGGACCTAGCAGGGAGAGTGGAGAGAGGTAAAGGAAGGGGCAGGGCAGTAGAGACACTGGGCACAGCTGGGACTGTACTCCCAGAGCAGGCAGGGGCTTCTGGGCCACCTGCTGTGTGCAACATCCTAGGAATCTATAATGACTTGAAAAATAACATGTTAAAAACAATGAAATAGAACCCACATGTCTCCCAGATGCCCAGGTTTCCAGGGTCATGCAGTAAGACCCAAATTAGAGACAGATGGGCCCTCCGCCACAAGCCTGAGGATTGCCGGTTCCTGAGCTGCTGTGTGCCTCAGCTTCCCCATCTGTCCTGTGGGATCATAGTACCTATTCCTCGGTTGTTGTGAAATGAAACGATTTACTATACACAGAGCCCTTGACCTCTTTAAGAGACCTCAGACAGGCCTCAGACCCCCAAGAAGAAGGCCGCTGGAGGGGTGTGTGCGCCTGCGTGACTGTGTGTGCATGAGTGTGAGTGTGCATGTGCATGCTTTGTCCAGTTGCCACAAATCGTATTCTTGACGAAGGTCAGAGGCCCTCGTGTGCTCTGGGCCACCCGGAGTTTCTTTCTAGAAGGGGCCGGCCTCCGAGGTTGCTGAGCAATGGCGCCTCACACTCGTGTCTCCCATAGGTGCCCCCGTGGTGCCCGCTGCAGGACAGGAGGAGGGCAGCACACCCACAGCACCCTCCGGCCTGGAGGACTGGGTCGTGACTCAGCGGGTGCCCGGCGTGGCTGTGGTCCCCTTAGGGGAAGAAGCGACCACAGTCCCAAGCTTCACGGTGGAGCCAGAAAACCAGACGGAATGGGAACCTGCCTACTCCCCAGCCTACGCTTCCTCCCTGCCAGGTACGTGCGGCCAGCGGCCATCTGTGGGCTGCCCAGCTGTTCCCCTGGGCCCGTGCTGCTCCTGCCCCGGCCCCTGCGTGTCCTGCTGCAAGAGCAATGGTGGCCCCTCCCTTAAAAGAAAGCCTGGCCCCTGCCCGGCCGCCGGCCCGCCCTCCTCCTCTCTCCTGTCCCTGCTGGCACATGTGGAAGGTCCCTAGAAAATGACGGACCAGATCTCTGAGCTCGGGAGAAAGGGTTAGCTTCTGTATGTAGACTTAAAACGGAAATGCATTAATCAACCTTTCCCTCTTCTTGCCCCCCCCCTTTCCTCCAGGGATCCCTCCTACGTGGGCTCCCACGGTCTCTGAAATAGAGGGGA